TTTTATGAATAAGAATACATATTACTGACTTCTGGTTTGCTCTTTTTTGTATGCTCTCATGCCCTTCGAGGCCCTTTGAACGCCTTCTTTTATTTGTTAACTGCTGATATCTGACTTGGCGCAAGTGTTTTTTCCGATCCTCCGCTGATCAACATGGCTCTCTTTCAAACCCATCGTTATACTTCGGGCCAATCTTGTATTGATCTGATAGGCCCGAGCTACCGAGGCCCTCCGAGTTATATGAAGATAATGTGTTGAATTTCGGGGCCTTCTGGAATGTTACCCTAAATGAAGGTCAGATTCGGGTACCCGGGGGTCCCTTTTGATCCTGATGTAGATAGCCCTTTTTAAAATGCACAGGATAAACTTCTGCTAAGGAGTTTCCTGTACTCAAGCACTGCCTCGGACCTTCATGGAGCTTTCGTGATTAGAGTTTCTTGTGTTTATTCCTCTTTTTAAAAAGAGGGAACCAAGAGACCAGGTACTTGCCTTGCGTTGAGTGATGGTGTTGAAAGCTTCCCAAAGTCCGACTTCTCCTTAGCAGGGATCCTCAGGGCAGAGTGATGTCTCGATATAGGAGATAATACGGACAATTTCTTGAATTTGGGCTTCTCGTTTAAGGATGATTTTGAGATAGAGTATGACCCGGTCGATCTGCATCGAGGCTATAGGTTTCTCGGGGCTCACTCCGGGTAGGCAAGCCGTCGCTGCTTCTTGAGCATATGTGGGGCGGCTTCGGCTTCTTTGCAAGACCTCACTATTTTTTAGATAGCCGCTTTTCTGCTTTGGCACAGGGTACTTCATCTCTTTAGGCACAAAAAGTGTTTGTGCTCGCCCTTGCTTTGACCTATTAGTTTTACCATAGTCATGGAAACCACTTGGGGGCCGGTCCGGCAGGGAACGGGGAGTGTTTCTCCCGGTGCTCAGGATTTGAGGGAGTTCGCTCTAAAGACGGGTCTTTGATAAAAGAGGAACATCTGGAGATGGTGAGGAAATACTGTGGATGAAACGAGGGGGTAGCGCTGCAGGTTCTTCCCCCGGATGAGAGTATTACGGACTCTACTGATGGATTCTTGAGCGTATATCTATATCCTTTCGCGTTTTGTCCCCTTGACAGGATTGTTCTTGACTTTTTCTTGAAGTATCGAGTTACTTTGGCGCATATACATCCGTCGTTTTGGCAGGTGGTGCTGATGATGAGGCTCTTTACGGAGGAGGCTGGGCTTGAATTTACGCTTAACCATCTCGTCAGGCTATACCTTTTCATCACCAGGGCCTGCTAACCCTGAGGTGCCGTTCATCCACACCTTTTATAGTTGAAGATGAAGAGGATGGGGGTCGAGAGTGGGCCGGTTGGTTTATCCGAGTCCGAACGGTCGACATTATCCCCGTGGAGCTTTTGCCCTTTCCCGAAGGGTGGAATTATGCTCGTGAGTGGAGCGTCTGGTGCTTTTTCAGATTTTGCCAATAGCGAAAATCAGTTGAGTAATAATGTTGTCTCCCTTGTTGCAGCAACTTCATGGACGCTGGGTGAAGTCCTCGACCATCCTGGCTGGGTCCGGGGGCTGGTGACCCATTCGTCCTGCGATGAGCATTGATGGCGAGCTGTATTCCGTGCCAGATGGGGAGCAAAATACCAAGGTATGTACGCATGCTGCCTTTGCCTTGGCCTTCGTATATTTGAGGTAATGTTTTCCCCTTCATTCGTACTGGATTCGTCTCTTGCAGACATCGGGCAGTTCCTTGGGATGAGGCGATGCTCTAACGAAGAGGGGATGGAGCCGTCGGCCTCCGAGCTGATGGATGATGGCAATAAGTGGGATCGGCATCCGCAGTGTGATGGAGCTTTTAGTGGTGCTTATCGGGCCCGTGCTTCCGAGGAGAGGGCATCATCAGAGTCTGCTGCTCCTGAAGTACCTGATTTTTGTTTGGCAGTTCCTTTAAGTGAACATACTGCGCCCAAGGTCGGTTCTCCTGGGGCCGAAGAGGCATGATCAACATGAGTGTGTTCAGACTTCGAAGAAGTTCGTCGGCTTCACTTTATGGTAAGTTTGGGCGCAGTTCCCCTGTATTCCATGTCCTCCTCCATTTATTGAACTTTCCTTGTGCAGGCCTATGATAGGCTTATGTCTGAGCTGCTCCGTCAAGGGGCCAGGCTCCAGAAAATTCTGGACGAAGGCAAGTCCCTTAGGCTCCTTAGCAAGGAGAAGGAGGTTGAGTTGCAGCATTGTCGATATGAAGTGTACCGGAGCTTGAATTATGAGAGCTATTTGATGGAGCAGGTAACTTTCTGCGACTCGTGTTTTTCTCCCTTTAGACCTTTGAGGTTAACCCCCTTTTTGTTATATTAGCTGCAAAAAAGGATGGAGGCCTTGGAGTACCTTAAGGGCGATGTTGACCGCGCCAAAACTGCCTGTGGTGAGCTGAGGGCTCAGGTGCAAGCTCAAGCTTTAGAGGAGGCAGGCGCCTCGGCTAAGGTCCATGCCTTCGAAGACCAATTTTGCTTGGCTTGTGATAATGCCGAAGTCCAAGCGGATATGATCGGGAAACTAGAGTCTGACCTCTCGAAGATCAGGGCTGAAATAATTGATGCCCGGGCTGAAGCGGCGCTAAGCCAAACCAAGGCTAATCAGGAGATGGCGATTCGCATGAAAGATGTTGCAGACGCTCAAGCCGATTTGAGGCGAGCCCTCGACTAGGAGAAGAGGATCGAGGAATATGTTCGTTGCAGATCCCGAAGAGAAGTACGCGAGGAGATTGATGCGAGGGGCTTCGTTCTATTAGAGGAATTGACTCGAGCAAGGGCAGACGAGTACGATGCGCGATCACTTCTTGATGACGAGGCGAAGAACGAACTCGGCAAGCTGTAGCCCTTTGGTGAGGAGCGTAGATTTTGCTGTTTTGTCGCTTTGTTTTTTATATACGTAGAGCATGTCTATAGATAGAGAGTGCGCCTTCTTTGCGTGTGTAATATAAGAGGAAACTTGAAGCTTTATTTCTTCTGCATCTCTTTTCTGTTATTGCTTTTGACCAGGCAGGCTGGTTTTGGTGCTTGGCAGGATCCTCGTAAGTCCGGAGCTGATCGGACAGGCCCGGGGGCTCTTAAGTGCGATCCTTGATGTGAGTAGGCACTGTGACCTCCGTGTTTTGTCGGATGTTTGGGCTTAGTCTCCGAGTTGGGCTTCGACTCGAGCCTTATTGTCCTTAAATCATTTATGCTCGTGTGGGCAGGTAGTAATTGCTCCCATTTCTTGCCATTGGGCATTTGCCGTTCAGACTATTTTGGATCCAGTCTCCGAGTCGCGTTGTGATTTGAGCTTTAATTGACCCTTAAGTTCTCTTCCACCTACATGGGCGGATGGTGATGGCCTTTTGTGTTGTTTGTTGGTCGTCGAGAGAGAGAGAGAGATATTATTGCACTTGTGGAGAAATGGAGCAACCTTAGTCCATTACAAGGTAGCGTGAGTCCCCTTTATATGGGAGGGAACTCGGCTGCAAGTATATGGGCGTTAATTACAAAGTACGGAGATGGGATGGCTTGATATGACGCCTCAACATAGGCTATGGTTAGGCCGACCCTATTAAACTTAGCCGTGTGCCTTGGGAGCTTCCCCCTTTGTCTTGGCTTCGATCTCCGTTTTTTCTATGTCGGGCCTCGACGAGCCCGAGGTCGGGAACTCGGTCATGGCTTCTCGTCCTCGGGGTCTTGAGGCGTTCTTCCGAAGCGATTTGTCAGCAAGAAATCAAGTCCTCTGATTTTTCCGCGTACATATATTTTTCAGAATTATTTTACAAATACAGTTTACTAACATTATATACCTATTAATTTCTCGGCATGTGTGTTGCACATGCATCTCCAGTCATTTAGTACAAGAACTTTTTTTTAAATAATATATAACACTACTAAAATATATTTCGATTACTTATGTTTATTTCATTGAATTTGGCATGAATTATTTAATATTTATGAGAACTATTAACGGAAAAAATGTTAACGTAAACGGAAAAATGATACCAAACATGATTGTATTATTCACCCTTCAATGGTGGCGTCAACATGAGAACATGCTCATATCACTCATGGGAATTATGATAGTGATTACCTAATCTTTTTATTTTATTTTTTATATCTCTAGTATTATATATTCACACTCTATTTCTTTTTATGTGGTGCGAGTCGGAACACGAGAGTCAAGCAACTTAATTTTCAAAAACTACGAGCGATTTAAAGTAATGTATTTTAAAAACTATGAGTGTTTGGATGAAACTTCGTAGAATATTGGTACCAGGATGACAAAGCGGGACAAACAGAAATGTTTATTAAACTATTCTGTCTTGTATATTTAAAAACTACATGAAAAGTACTATAAGTCAAAATAGTAATTAATTTATTTATTTAAAAGATAATTGAAAAAATCAATCTCTTAGTTGCTTGAAATAGTAACAATATCACATAAGATAGAATAATTTTATAGGAGAAAGAGATAAATTAACGATTTTGCATAATCTAGCTTTAAGAAAAAAAGTAAGGGTAATTTTTTGTAGAGAACTCTAGGTGTATGGGTGTACAGCTGTCAATGAGCTTTAATTAAGTTAAGATAGGTGGTTGTTAGTTGTACAAGTAGTAGTTAGTTAGTTATGTACACTGTACCGATTTTATTTTTCACTATTCATCTAATGGAATCAGTTGAGAACTCTCCCTCTTCTTCTCTCTTCTCTCTAATTACCTCTGTGCAGACTCTATAGCTGAGCTCTTCAACATGATATTAGAGTTGTGCGTTAGATCCTTCAGCTCAACAAGCAGCAGACGAGTGTCAAGCAGTATTTGATGAGTCAATTTCTCAACAAAGAGCAAAAGTCCCAAAATTAGGACTTTTCTATCTCTGGCTGGAACTCAACGAGTGACTCTGCTCTTTTTGAGAAATTGCGAGTAATCCAGTACTCGATTGTGATTCTATGAAGAGATAAGGAAGTGTTTCTGTTGAAATTGCTTCTCAACGATGCCGACTAATGAAGAAGTACCATTTGCTCAAACCTCAGGTACACCAGCTGCTCAATCGCAGAACCTAGAGCTTGTTCATCACAATCATCCGCTATACATTCATCCTTCAGACACTCAAGGTTATGTTCTCATCTTAATTCAACTTTAATGTTCTGAAAATTACTCGATTTGGAGTAGATTTATGAAAATTGTTCTTCACAGTAAAGACAAATTATGATCTGTGCTAGGAACCTATAGAAAGGAGGTGTATGATGTTAGTCTACATGAAGTATGGGATAGGTGTAATGCAATTGTGTTAGCATGGATAATGAACACAGTTTCTCCAAGTCTAATTAGCTCAATGATATATGCTTCTAATGCATATAAAGTGTGGGAAGACTTAAAAGAGAGGTTTGACAAAGTGAATGCATCTAGAGCCTGCTATTTGCATAAGGAAATTGTCACACTTGTTCAGGGAATATCTTTAGTATCTGTATATTTTTCGAGACTACGTGAACTGTGGGATGAATATGAAACTCTGGATCCTCCACCCTCTTGTAGATGCCCTGAGTCTAGGCAACATGCTGAACATTATCAAGTGCAAAAATTGTATCAATTTCTGTATGGTTTAAATGAGTCTTATGAGAATGCAAAGAATCAGGTTCTCATAATTAGACCACTGCCAAACATAAACCAAGCTTATGCTATGATTTTTAATGTTGAGAGCCAAAGAAAAACAGGTGGAGGGAATGCTAGTGGTGTTGGTGCTGAAATTGGAGAACCTGCTACGCTCTTAAGCAATAGAAGAGCAAGTGGAGTGTCACGATCCCAAACCACCCCGGCCGTGATGGCGCCTATCGCAGTACTAGGCTAGCCGATTCGACATTTATAACATAAAAAGTCTTCTTCTTAATTCATTTACTAATCAGCTATTATCACAAAACTTCCATTTAAACATTTCAATACAAACAGAAAAATATGCAAAACATCAAACACTGCCCGATCCTGGAGTCACTAGTCGTGAGCTACTAAATACAATCTGATACTGTCTACTCAATACAAGATGAGTTTGATAAAAATAAATACTAAAAGATAGGAAGAAGAAAGGCAGTGTTGCGGACGCCGTGCAGCTACCTTGCTAACTCCGGAAATGCTCTAAAGGAAAGGATTAGCTCTCAGTCGGATGCCCTAGCACTTGGATCTGCACACAAGATGCAGGGAGTAACGTGAGTACGCCAACTCAGTAAGTAACAATTATAACTAAAGACTAAGTGCAGTGATGAGTATTTAAAATCATATACTTCTCATAAAATAAAAGCCTCAGTCGAAATAACAGGATTCAAATCAACAGTTAAATTCTGAACATCTCGTAAAAATTTCAGTTTCAGTGAAAGTTGCTTAAAACATTTGTTCAACATTTTCAATAGAGAATCAGTATAAAAGAAGACTGAAAACAATAATTTCATAAAAACAAGCTCCTCGAGCAAAGTATCACTCATCTATATATATATATATATATATAGCTCCTCGGGCAAGCCTCTCAGTCACTCATGACTCAACTCTCATCAATCAGCACTCACGCTCAATAGGTACCTTATAATAACTGCTGCGGCATGTAGCCCGATCCTTAAATATATATAGTCGACTGCCCTCACTAGGGGTGTGCAGTTTCAGGAGGGGCTCCTACAGACCAAGCACTATATCGCTGCGGCGTGCAGCCCAATCCTCCACCCTATATATATATATAACATTGCGGCGTGCAGCACGATCCCTAACTATCCTCACAATCCGGCTCTCGACCTCACTCACTCATCAACCTCACAAGCCACTCGGGCATTTTAGTACAAACTCAGGGAACTCAATCCAAACACTTTCATATATTAAAATAGAGTGATGAACAACAACAACAACAAAAACATCCCAGTATAATCCCACAAGTGAGGTCTGGGGAGGGTAGTATGTACGCAGACCTTACCCCTACCTCGAGGGGCAGAGAGGCTGTTTCCAGGAGACCCTCAGCTCAAGAAAGCACCAAGTGACGATATATTAGTACTATTGATAGACTCATAATATAATAACATAAAATACATAACATACATAAAATAAATTAAAATAGCAAAATAACAGCCATATAAGAGAATATAGAAAATACGAGAGAGATGGAAGGTAAACTAATATCCAGCGTATAAAGCCCTGTATCAGTAGCTAACCAGTAGTATCCTAAGCCTAACTCCTAACGGGCTAGTCTCACTCTAGTGCGCTGTATAGATATTCACAACTTCCCCCTAACCTTCAACCTTAATGTTTGACCTCCACAATTCCCTGTCTAGGGCCATGTCCTCAGTAATCCTAAGTCGCGCCATGTCCTGCTTGATCACCTCTCCCCAATACTTCTTAGGTCTTCCTCTACCTCTCCTCGTACCCACCACCGCCAATCACGCATATCTCCTCACAGGTGCATCAGTGCACCTCATCTGAATGTGCCCGAACCATCTGAGTCGTGCTTCCCGCATCTTGTCCTCTATTGGGGCCACGCCCACCCTCTCTCAAATATCTTCATTCCTAATCTTATCCATCCTTGTATGCCCGCACATCCACCTCAACATCCTCATCTCTGCTACTTGCATCTTCTGGATGTGTATGTTCTTAACCGGTCAACACTCGATACCATACAACATGGCAGGTCTAACTACTGCTCTATAAAACTTACCTTTTAGTAATGGTGGCACTTTCTTGTCACACAAGACCCCCGTCACTAACTTCCACTTCATCTACCCCACCCCTATACGGTGTGTGACATCCCNGTGACATCCTCGTCGATCTCCCCGGTCCCCTGAATAACTGACCCAAGGTACTTGAAACTACCCCTCTTAGGTATGACTTGAGATTCAAGCCTCACTTCTACTCCCTCGTCCGTCGCCTCGTCCCCAAATTTGCACTCGAGGTATTCCGTCTTCGTCCTGCTCAATCTGAACCCTTTAGACTCAAGGGCCTGTCTCTAAACCTCTAGCCTCTCATTGACGCCGCATCGGATCTCGTCAATTAGGACTATGTCATCAGCAAATAGCATGCACCATGGCACCTCCCCTTGAATATTATGCGTTATGGCATCCATCACCAGGGCAAATAGGAAAGGGCTGAACGCCGACCCTTGGTGCAACCCTGTAACAACCGGAAAATGCTCGGAGTCGCCTCCTACTGTCCTAAACCGAGTCTTAGCTCCATCATGCATGTCTTTAATCACCCTAATGTATGCAACCGGGACCCCTTTAGCCTCTAAGTAGCTCTATAAGACCTTCCTAGGTACCCTATCGTACGCTTTCTCTAGATCGATAAACACCATGTGAAGATCCTTCTTCTTATCCCTGTATTGTTCCACCATCCTCCTAATAAGGTGGATAGCTTCTGTGGTAGATCGCCCCGGCATGAACCCGAACTGGTTGTCTGAAATAGACACCGTCCTTCACACTCTCATTTCAACCACTCTCTCCCAGACTTTCATGGTATGACTTAGTAATTTGATACCCCTATAGTTGTTACAGCTCTGGATATCACCTTTGTTCTTATACAACGGAACCATTGTACTCTACCTCCACTCTTCAGGCATCCTATTAGTCTTGAATATAACATTAAACAACCCAGTAAGTCATTCCAAGCCTGCTCTACCCACACCTCTCTAAAGTTCAACCGGAATTTCGTCTGGCCTGGTAGCTCTGCCCCTACTCATCTTACGCATTGCCTCCATGACCTCATCGACCTCAATGTCCCTACAATAACTTAATTCATGGGGGCTGTCCGCATTCCTCAATTCACCTAGTGTAATATCCTGATCCCCTTCTTCATTTCGAAGTTTATGAAAGTAGGACTGCCATCTCCTCTTAATCTGGTCCTCCCCCGTCAAAACTTTGCCGTCATCATCTTTTATGCACCTCACTTGGTCCAGATCCCGAGCCGCCCTCTCTCTCACCTTAGCGAGTCGAAATAACTTCTTTTCCCCCCCTTTGTTCCCTAGTTCCTCATACAGACGAGCAAAAGCTGCTGCCTTAGCCTCCGTTACTGCCATCTTCTCCTCCTTCCTAGCAACCATATATCTCTCTCTGTTCGCTGTCTTCTCCTCCTCACCAGTGCTCCCTACTAGTTGCAGGTAAGCCGCCTTCTTCGCTTCCACTTTACCTTGGACACCGAAATTCCACCACCAGTCTCCTTTGTGGCCACCGGTGCGTCCAGAAGATATACCTAACACCTCTGTCGCCGCCTTCCTTATGCTGTCTGCCGTCATCGACCACATAGTGTTTGCGTCCCCACTACTTCTCCAAGCTCCTATTGCCGATAACCTTCCAGCCAACTCCTGAGCTTTATCCTCAGTCAAGGCTCCCCACCTAATCCTCGGGCGGCCTCGTACTGACCTCTTCTTCCTCTTTATCGTAATACCAATGTCTATCACCAAAAGCCTATGTTGCGTTGCAAGGGTCTCACCTGGGATAACTTTGCAATCCTCGCACCACCTTCTGTCGCATCTCCGGAGGAGGAGATAGTCAATCTGAGTCTTCGCCGCTGAACTTTGGTAAGTAACCAAATGCTCCTCCCGCTTCGGAAAACTTGAATTTGTAATCACTAGATCGAATGCCTTGGCAAAGTCCAGCAGCGAAGTGCCCCTCCGTTTCGTTCCCCAAAACCAAAGCCGCCATGTACCTCAGTATAACCACCTGCGGACGACCCAATAAGACCATTGAAATCTCCTCCTATGAATAACCTCTCGGAAGGTGGAATGCTACGAACGATGTCAT